CAAGCAAGGCCACGGGTTTAAGGTCTTAACAGCTACTAAAGCAAAAGCTCCTTCTGTCTCGCTCTTAAGCACGGAAAACAAGCCGTGTTAGACGAAGGGGTGTATTGAGGGCCGCCATTGGCTATCCACGCTCCTTTATTGCCGGTTGCCTGGTAACCGGCCTGCCACCGACACACACCGATGGCAACCACCCTGCAACCACCCTGAAACCCGACAGCGCCGCGCACACCCTCGCTTAGGAACTCGCAACCACCACCACCAGCACCACCACCAAGTACCGTCACCACCGTCCCTCGCCACCCTCTCCGCGATGCTCCACGAGCCAATGCACATACACGCACATTCGCGTTTCCTCAGCCTCTCTCCGAACACACGCGCACTCGCGCACAAGCACACTCGCGTCGACTGGCGCGAACGCGTGGGGATGTGCGATGGAATCTCCGTGTAATCGTCAGAGGGTTGCTCGTGTGAGTGCGCGAAACAACCCTGCCGGCTCTCGCAGTGTACGTACGCATGGCGTGAATATATTTAGCCAGGAAACTACCACTGTTTTCACGCGAGAGGGTGTTTCGAGAGCTGCCTCTCCGGCTGCCTCTGTGTGTGCACAAAGTCTGTGCTCCTGGCCGAGTAGACCGCAAAGTTTTCTCTGAAGTTGCTGGATTTCTTCCTTTTATCGCCGCTCCTCACAGCAGTTGGGGAGGATACTTTCGCGGATGATTGTGTTCCGCCGGTCGTAATCGCGCGCAGGATGATCGGGCAACTCGGGGAAGGGGGTTGAAGTTGCTCGGCTGTCGAGGCTCCGAGTCCTGGCTCAACGCGGCCTGTTTGATGTACGCTTTCGTCGCGGACTCCAACTTTCGAATTCGTACATTTCATCCAGAGGAAAACTAGGAAAGTTCGATAAAGATCTTCCCAGTCGCGAATATTTCAATGGAACGGACTCGCCATTCTCCAACTCGCGTTCGAGATACTCCTCCGTGGATGACCATGCGAGCAAGTAGCCAGCGTTTCGCGCGAAACTCGCCAAATTCGACTCGTCTAATCGACCCCCTCCAATGTCCCATATTAAATCCAATAAAATCCTTCGAGCTGACGATCAATTCGTTGGAACGGCGACGCGTACGAGCCCGTAATCTTGCGAGTTCTCTCGTCGAGAAGATTAAAAACAATTGCTTCTGAAGTGGCTGTGTGCGCAAACACGGCGTCTCCCTAGCGTGGCTCCCGAGGGAGGTCGCGACATCCCACGATATTCGAGGGCACTACGAACGGATTAGATCCAGGACAAATTAGAGGAGAGAGGAGCACCGGTCGCCGGGAAGCCGGGAATATATCAGGGTAGAGGGCAAACGTGTCCCGCTGGTCCCGTAATAGCTAACTGGATTTGATTAATCGATTTGGTTACAGCCTCCTACTTAGCCATCCTGACGCTTCCTGCCGCGTCTAATATCGATCATTCTCACGCGGAAGATACGTCGCTCCTGCGACGAATAAAACTCGCGTCACCGTTCTCTATTTCTCTTCCACGATTATACGAGACGAAGGTATAGTGTCGGCACACGGCTGTGTATCATCTCGACTCGGGGGGTGAAAGTGTCGCGCGACTTCTTCGCGCGCGAGGGGAAAGAATTCCGTCCGAGTTGCTCGTTTCCTTCGCTTAGAATACGCTTCGGGGTGAAGATATCGAGCAACTCCGAAACCCCGATCCTATCTTGCTCGCAACCCAGTGGAACGACCCTTCGCGCGACATCGAGTCCTCGCGAGGGGTAAGATCGGTAGACGCAGGACGATTTCAACGACGACTATCCGATAGTCCGCGAGATCTTCGACTAGCCACGCCAGGACACACCGCAACTCCATTTTCTCCGGGTTATTAGCATCCACTGCAGCCACTCGCGTCCACGTTCTCCGACGTGCAAAGCGATTGGTTCGACGGCTTGCGGTAAATAAGCGTGCTTAAAAAGCCGGGAGCAGGAAGCAACGCCAGAGTCGGGGTGGCGTAAAGAGGCCTCTCTACGATCTCGTGGAACAATGCATCGCGCGAACACCATGCTAGGTGTCTTAAGCTGCTCGCGGTCGAGTCTCAAATATTTATTTTCCATTCGACTCGGTCGTTTCGTAATCGCGTTTTCCCGTGATAAAATCTTCCCCTGTCGGAGGTCCGAGCAGCGAGACGAATTACAGGCTCTTTTGTCCGTGATCCTAATTATCCTTCCTTTCCTCGGTACAGCTCGGCGGTAGCCTTCCGGTTAGATCGATAGGGTAAATAGAGCAAAATTTATTTGGAGCTTTGGACGGGGAAAAAGTGGCGGTGGATGGTAGCATAGAGAGGCGCGTGTATGCGCAAGGAAGAAATGTTGGATAAAATTAAGCCGGCATGCGAGAAATTTGCTTGAATCGACTGAATGCGCCCGACGCTTCCTCATTAAGTTCTTCGTCTTCGTGACGACCCAGCAGATAAATAACTACAAACCGGGAATATCTGGAAGCTGGGAAATTCGAAAATTCTGCGAAGAGAGATCGAGTTAACGTGGCTCGTATTCGGGTAATTAGATGATCTCCGATGACAGGCCGGGAGAGAAATTCTTTCGACGAAACAACGTCGCGAATGCGGCACAATGCGCTTTGGAGTCAGGAACGATACGCTTTTCATTTCTCGCGTCTTTTTGCCCCTTTTCAGCGAGCTTCGCCAATGATTATAAAGCTATTCCCTCGTTTGACTTTGGGCAAGCGTTTTGAAAAAGCGGTGAAATGCAGCGCGAGCGAGAGAAAGGGGACGGAACGCGTTGGCGGGGCGAAAAAGGAAGGATTAACAATACTTTTTAAAAGCAGCCTCCGCTATTTTCGCATACCGTGTGTTCTATGTCGCGCGGCTCGTTCGCGATACTGTTCGACTCAAAATTCCTCCGAGTTCCTCTCTTTCGCTTTCTCCTACTCAGACTTCCGCGGCTTTCTCCGTGCTCGCGCGTTCGGAAAACTAGCTTTGGTCGTGTTTCTATTTCCACCTAAGCGAAGGACTTTATTTTCCGCGTGACGCGTAACAATTCTCGGTGTCAACTTCAGCCGGTACATTTGTAGCGAAGATTATTAGAGCAATGAAATATCGGCACAAATGAAAGAACCGTGATCGGGCCATTATCCGTTTCTTTTCCGCGAATACGACGGGACAAAGGTAGGAAATTCTCGCGTAGGAAATCTGAAAGGAATGGTTTTTTCCATCCTTTCGCTGTCTCTTTCGCCAGCAACCGCCACGGTTATTGTACCGTTCGCGATTCGACTAACCACGCGAATCGCGTGAAACACGCGTGCACGCGTCGGCCGCGATCGTGGAAAAGCGTTACGCTATTAACGCGAACCACGAAGGCGTGGATGGAAATAATTCGGTGGAAAGAAATAGGACGACAGGCCGAAGTAATCGTATCCGTGTAGCCGTGTGACGTCAGCGATGTGTTTCGTGGGTCCAATTAGTCGAAGAACACGTATAATTGGAATTAAGCTCTTAATTAATAGTTAATTAGCTGGCAGTAGTAGCGTCACCAGCGGCTCTGGCAGCAGCAGCAACAACTGTAGTAACGAGTTAGCCCCGGGGAGAGGGTTTCATTGTGGAGCGGCGCGCGCCACGGAGCCGGTTTTCGCTCGTTAATTCGAAATTAATTTATAATTGATAATTATTTTCGGGCCATGGGTCCTATCCGCTTGCCATCTCGACGAACCTTTCTAATTTCCTGCCTCTCCTGCCCGTAGAAAATTGCCATTTACCCTGCAAAGCACGCACGAGCTGTCGAGTCACGAGCAGTGTGTTTAAAGGAAGAAAAAAGGGGCAAAAGGAAGGAAAAATGTTTTTTTCCTTCTCTGTATCGTTGGCGTGCGCGCGCACGCGCTGTTAGCTACTCCCTAATTGGGGAACCTGGATTTTTGAGATGAAAATCCGCGCGCTACTAGCTACTGGACAGCGCACCGTTTCCCCGACATTTTTTTCCCCTCCACTCCTCCGCCTTTTTTTATTTTCCCCGTCCATTTTTTTTTTTTTCCCTCCTTTTTCTCCCAATTTTCGCTCGCCTCCCCGCCCCGCCAGGGGCCGTTCCATCCAACCATTCGAAATTCCGTTATCGGTAATAAATTTACCGGGTATTTTGCCGGAATATCGAGTGTCAAGTCCGCGCTGCGACAGTCGATATCGCGCGTGGAAATTACGTTCCGATCTCCGCGAGTTTTTCCGATCGGAACACGCGTGTACACACCCCCGTCCCTCTTAATTGCGTTTCTTTTTTCTCCGAACCGAGTGGTGGATAATGCTTTAAATGCAACGCGACGAGCACACACACGCACACACAAACCGGGGAAAGAGGCGGACGATAAATGGAAAAATAGAATCGCGTTACGTGCTTCTTAGCTGCGTGTCGATGCTTCAAAGGGGTAAAATTGGAACATGAGAACGAACGTCGAAAATGTTACGCGAATTTGGGTTGCCGCAAGACCCTGTTTCCTGCGTTTTGATCTACCACCGGCGTGTCACCGACGAGCCGACTTTTCTGAATTATCGTCAAAGGCGCGTTGCATTTTGTCCGATTTTCTCGCGACATTTCGCGACGAATATATGCGCGGGAAATTTGACATTTTCGTGCCGTTATCCTTGCTCGTCTCCATTACCGGTTAACGAAGGGATTAACGAAGGGAAATCGAAGAAGGGACGCATTGACTCGTAGGATACTCGTTTGGCAGAATTTGCGCGAACACGCGTGGTTTCTCGATTTATTGGCAAATCGGGGGTATAATGGGTAATTTGATCCCGGACGTACGAGCGCGGAGCTGCAATTCGGATCGGATGGATTATCGGTACACGCGTTAATGATGATTTTTTGAAGAAAGTAGATACAGCTTCGAATTATGCGGGGTTATTTAATCTACGCTGGCTTGATCGCAACATCGTTAGCTTTGAAAAGTTAGTATATATTATCCGTGCATTTTGCTGAAATTTAATAAATTTAACGATCTTGTTACAGGTGTCGGGCACAATATAGAATCAGGGAAGGACTTCACGGTCGACGGTCTCTCCGGTTTCAGCAAAAAGAAGAAGAAGAAGCGTCGTCATAGGTGAGTGTCTGAGGCAAAGTTTCGGCACGTGAACATTTTTAGCCGCCGCGTTTCGGTTGCATCGAATTTTTCGCCGTATCCACGTTCGTTTTCCACGTTTTCGCGACAGCGCGCCGCCATTAATTCTGTCTGGCGCGCTGTGTAAAAATTTTGATTGGAGCGTAACGTGAAATCAGCGCGATAGAAATACGCGTGAATAATTAATAACCACTGGCAAAATTTTCGACGCAACGTTGAGAGCTATTCTTCCGTATTTTCGCTTGATTATCCACAGGTCTGCGAGACAATCGTTCGCGTTTCACTGATTTTCGTTCACCGATAATGATAAATTTATTCCAAACGAATATATCATTTTAGACTTTTCAACGTGTAATCGACGAGTCCCACAACCCCCGATAATGAGTTTTCAGCTATTTTGAAGTGACAGACAACCCGAATGCAATCACCGTTCCGCGATAATTGTATACCGGACGGACGAATTCCGGCTCAAATTGATCGTTAAAGGATATATTTGTCGGTAGAAATCGATTCCATTGAAACGTTCGAGTTACATGGCGAACCTAAGGATACGTATTCGCGTATATGCGCGCCATCGGGGCGAAAGATTAAAAATTGACGCTGGGAACCGGTCGAACCGGCTGAATGAAGAATTATTATATTCGCAAATTGAACATGCGCAAATTAAAATTTCTCCCGGCTCGAATGTTTCATTGTAAAATTTATGAAATCCGCTTTAAATTCTGTACAGCTGGATTAAAAATAGATTTGCGCCGATTGATTTGTTCGAAATTCGTTTCGGCAAGATCTATAGAATTTAATCTTGCTTCGACTTTGCTGATCGACTAAATTGTTTTTCGTCGCCGTTCCAACCGTCAACTCGTTCTAACATTTTCCATTAACGAAATTCCGAAGTCATTTTCTGCGTCGCGCTTTTTTCCCCTGCCCCCATGTAATGGCATATAACTAGGTTCATACGGTTGTTGCTCCAGGACGATCTTCACGTCACAGCAGCTGGAGGAGCTGGAGGCAGCCTTCAAGGAAGCCCATTATCCCGACGTGTATGCTCGCGAGATGCTCAGCCTTCGAACCGATCTGCCCGAAGACAGGATACAGGTGAGCGAAAATCAAAAGACCTATGAAATCCGACCTTTTGACCCACGAATCGGACGGCTTCGATACCGCGCCGTTTCCTTGTGAAATTCGCGACTCAGGGCTATCGTGTTTCTTCGCGTAGATTCCCGTGAACGCGCTCGAATTGATCAAAGGGTAGCCACTAACTTTTCGTTGCTCTCAACGACTTCGACGTTACGCAAAATAATTTAAAGAGACGCTTTATCGTTCGAGAATCGCGCGTATCAGCGCGGTTGAAACGCCCTACTTCCAGCGTTACACGATCGCGAGACATCGAGGATTAATCGAATTAATTTACACGGAAATAGAAATCGCAACGACGAGAGAGGGAGAGAGAGAGAGAGAGAGAGAGAGAGAGAGAGAGAGGAAAGAAAATCGGGTTTCAGGTGTGATTAAAAGGTGCCACTTTCAGTCGCGAATCGCGTGAAATACAAGGTGTAAATTGAAAGTGGTCGCTTACGACGCGTTAACAATGCTTCTTGTGCGCGTCGTATTCATAATTTACCTATTAAATTGACATGCAATGCAATTCATCTCGGTTGCCAGTCGCATCGGGTCCACAAAGAACGCTAAATCCCTAAACTCGGTTTTTCGTCGCATCGTAGTCCGGTGAACGTTCAGCGCCGGCGAAATTTCGACTATAATTCGCTATTAAAACCACAATCAGCTTTGGCGATAATTTTGTTCATTAACGGAAATTAACAACGTAACGCGCTCTTGGAAAATTTAACGCGCTGCTCGTGACGATTATACGGTATAATCAGTGGAAATATAAAGCTCCAATACGTTTTCACGCAATTACTACGCGCGTCGTTTTATCGTGGAAAATTCGGCATCAGAGTGATAACAACGAGGACAACTTTGCAAACAAATTTCACTCGCGTTCGTTCGTCAAAGAGATTCATCGTCAATTAGCGAGTGCTCCGGTGTTAGTTACATTTCTATAAATTACCACGCAATTAATTACGCAAATTCATACGTTATCCGCGCAACGATGTAACGGAGATGCTGTCTACTCTCGATGATTCGATGGATTCGCGTCGACCTCGATAATTACCGATTTTTCCAACGAAAGCGTGCCACCTGCCATCGCTTTCGTCCGTATCGTTTCGCGGAATCGAAACGATAGCCGCCGTTCCTCCCTATCCGCGACGCAAATTAGGAAACCCTCGTCGCGAAGATAATGCGAGGAGCCTCAGCCAGCTCTTTATTCGATCGCAAATGGCACCTCATTCGATGCCGCGGCGATATCGCGCGGAATTATCGACAGCGTGCATAAAGCGGCGAAAGAACAGTCGCGAATGAAAGTGGTAAGGGATGCAGCGGTGGCTGGTTGTCGGGGGTGGAGAATGGCAAGTCCAAAAGGCGCGACTATAAAAGGGAGAATTTTCCCGGGCTGACGGTTAGTTACCGCGGACTCGTGGAGTACCAGGCTGAGATAGGTTTCCGCATGGCGGACCCGGGACAAACTTCCCTTTCTCTCCCTGTTCCTCGTCCCTCTTCCTCGTATCGTGATTTACCCCTACGCGCGTCCTTCCATCGCTCTTCTCTCTGCCTCGTTCTCCTCCTCGGTCCTTCGCTGTATCCTTTCGACAGCACGAGCGGGACAAACGGGAGCTGGTATGCGAAGAGAAGAGACAGGGAGGACGGAATAAAGGAAGAAAGGATTCCGATCCTCCAGCAGCTCGTATCCGATCGAGTCGACGCGAGCGTGGTTACCTATTCGGCACGTGGGTGTACCTACACGCGCGTTCGCGTTCACGCGTGTTCGTGTGCTCAAATGACCAGCACGCGCACATGCACGAGACGTTGAATATATCTTGATATAATTCGAGGGACCAGGGTGACGAAGGTTAGAGGCTGAAGGGTGGCAGTGGTCCGCGCAACAAAGGTGGCAAAGGAACCGCTAGAGGAGATGACACCAGAGGTAGAAAAGAAACCACGGCGGTAAAGCGCGACGAGGATGCATCGGTTAGGTAAAGAGAGAGAGAGAGAGAGAGAGAGAGAGAGAGAGAGAGAAACGAGGTAGCAAGAGAAGAGAGAGAGAAAAAGAGAGGTAGACAGGGAAGGAGAAGGGGAGGAAGATTACGAGAAAGAGAGGGCAAGTAAAAAGAGGTACGATGGAAAGGGGTAGGTAGAGTAGGTAGGTAGGTACAGTCGAGTCGCGATTCACGGGGTTGTTGAAGCTTCGCGGCTGAAGCGTGCAGGCGCGTATACAGAGAGAGAGAGAGAAAGAGAGAGAGAGAGGGAGAGAGAGAGAGAGAAAGAGTGAGAGAGAGAGGGAGATTGAGAGAGAGGAAGAGAGAGTAACGGCGCCGTGAAACGACAAAGCGGCCATTGCAGGATGGGTGCGGTCCCGCGGGCCAATCAGAGAGACGAGTCGCGGACCGGTCGGCCAATCAGGCCGCGCCTTCCACCCGTCTTTTGTTTCTAAATTTGCGCGCGCGGCGGGGACACAATATAACGAGCGCGCGGGACGAAAAGAGGGGTTGGTAATCGTTAACGGTGATATTTTTGTGTGGGAGTGCCGGCTTTCTTCGTCTTTTCTCTACCTCTTCTTTCACTCTACCTTCACCCCTGCGCCTCCTCCCACGCGTCCTACGCACCGATCCCTCCCGCACGCTCCGTCGTCGTTCTCCTCGCCTCTCTTTCTCTCTCTCCCACACTCTCTCTCTTTCTCTTTCCGATTCGTTGCCGCGTGAATTTCCTTCCGCTTCTCGATCTAGCGCGCGTCTCCATCGAGTTTCTTCGTCCCTTGCTCTGTTCCTGCCTGTTCCGCGACCACTCCGACCCCCTATTTCTTTCCTAATTTCTTTGTAGCTCCTCTCTCCGGGCCCTTTGTCCCGCGCCTTTTCTCCTTTCTCGCGCGCTCGTGTGCGCCACCGTGCGTGCGCGCACGCCGACGCGTGTCGCGAAACGGCACGAAGAAGACCGCCGCGCCGGCCAGTTTTCATATCGATTAGGGGGCATTTTGTAGCACCTCGATGTGCTCGGCGAGCGTGTTCGTCCGTCGAGTAAATGCCAACTAGTTTCCGCGGAAATTTATTTCACCGCGCCAACCGAGTAACCGTCTCGGAAAGGATTTTAAGAGAGCTCGCGAGAATTCTTCCAACGCGCGCACACGTTCCCCCCTCTCGTAGACGGAATTGTGCGCGATAAAATTTCCAGAGGCCAACAACCATTCGGTGGAACCGTAACGACCGTTACCGTCCAAAGGAAGAGAAGACCGGAAGGGACTGCTTCCGTTACCATACGAAATTATCGCGTCCACTGGACGCTTCGACGATGCACCGGCTGTCAGGTTTCGCGCGTTCAAGTATTGCCTGATTAAATGGACGGGCTGGGTTAAACCGACGCTGCCCGAACAAATTAATTAGTTATGCTGGTCGAATACGATGCGACCCATGTCAGCGTAGAAATACGCGTCTCATCCGCCAGGACGATTCTCGCGTAAGTAGTACGCGCGGGTCTCGTTTCGGAATTCTCTGCAGCGTCTGACGCGAGGCCTGACCCATCGGGAAAATGCAGAGGAAACGCGGCGTTTTCTTTGACGAGCAGACGTTGCTTGATTTTTCGGTATCGAGAGGCTTTCTCATTTCGAACCGGGACAAAGAGATATAGGAGGGAAAAGGGAAGCGTCTTCTTTGAAGAACGGGAAACGCTAGGAGCATTTCCTCGTCTTCTCTTCGCGGCGAAATGAGAAACTTCCAAGACTTTTTCCATGGTATTCATTCCCGGGACAATGCTCGGTTCCTCGAAATACACCGAGATTTTAATATACCCTGGCGTTTCAGCAGCTTCGATGGTATCCCCCGATAATGTTCGCGTATCGGGAAGGACCTGGATAATCGGCCATCCTATACCCTCCTATTCATCGCGTTATTTCGCGCAACTTTCCCAACGCTGACAACCAGAAGAAAGAAAAACCGGAACGCTCCCGCGGTGAAGTTAATCGAAATGTCTTCGGCAGACCTCCGTTCCGGCTGTTCGCGTAATTGTGCATACGATTCACGCATGCGGCCGTATAATTGCGAGTTCCTGCCACAGATTCTATGCGACGCGTTTCCTGTCAAAGCGGTCCGCTTTTAAATGCATCCTTCCTGCACGGGAAGAGGAACTCTTGCACTTTCCTGAAAATCGACCTCCTCGTTTTCAGTTGCACCTCGTCTTCCCGACAACGAGCCGCGAGTTATTCCTATCACGCGACGCGAAAGCGAAATTATTTCCCTTCTCCAGTGGAGGTTAATCGTTTTCGAAAATTTCGAAATTAATCCACCGGCTTGGAATCAACTCCGATCCAGGTTAGAGGACTCTGCGGATACGATTGGAAGCGAAGGATAAAATTCTGAGATAAAGAGCGACCGTTGGCGAGAGAAAGGAGCAGAGGCTCGAGGGAGTGGCTGGTTTCCAAATTCACCCCCATACAGGAGGAAAGACCGATCGACTTGACTACTCGTTATCGCGATCGCTCTCGTGCTCGCAATGAGGCTGCGACTGATTGGCGCGCAGAATCGCGCACAAACGGACGTAATTTCGGTGGCCGGAGGGTTACGGCTTCTTATGGGGGTGCGAAAATTACAGGCTGCCTCGCCACACGTCCTTTCAGCCTGATCGATATATATATACATATACGCGCTCGCTGAAGGGGGTCCCACCTTGCGAAGTGTTTTCGACAAAATGACACCACGAATCACTGTTCAATTACCGTTTAATTTCAGCGACGCTGCGCGTGCGAGCGTTTAATAAATCGCGCGTTGCATTCGTTCGCGATGTCCTTTCGCTCGACGTTCCTGCCGCTAATCGTCCTTCCGATGCGCGATTTTGATTCGCCAACGGGACGAGAAACGCCTCGGTATTGCTCGTTTCTCTGTAAACGAGATTCGAACGGACCGATTTATAACGGGGTACCATCCCGAGAGGGTACAGCGAGGTAACGAATAGCCGGTGGAAGGAAAAGGAGTCATCTCTCTCACGCGGACAGA